TGAGAGCATTCTCTGCTGCAGCACATTGCAGGCCCGCACGAGTAATTATCAGGTAGTAAACTTGGTAATCAGGCATATTCATTACAAATTTTAAATCTGTAAAAGTTTTGAAACTATTTGAAGGCGGCTACAATCAGTTACAGCGAAACGATAAGTGTATTCAAGAAAAGTCTTTTCTAACGCAACTTCTTTGTTCAGTATTACTAGTAAAATAAAATACGGAAAAACAGATCAAGGAAAAACAGAAGTGAGAAATGGTATCTAAGAGCAGAGCTTTTAGCTTCTCTAAAATCAGTGCTGAGCAAATATAAACTGCTGAGCATCTTACGCCATCACATGATTCTCTTCTCTGGAAAGAAGTTTTTTTTTATATTACCAGCTACCGATGAAAAAGTTAAACACAATTTTCATGTTCATACTGTTAAAAAAAATTTATTCTAAATGACTTATAAGTTAGCATAATAATTTGATCTTTGCTAAGCAAACAAGCGCCAAAGCAGTGGTTCATATCTAACGTTCAAAAAAAAAATTGTGACTGTTTCAGAATTTTAGTTTGTCCTCTGCATACAGAATGGAAAATGAGAATTCTTCCAATTCCTGCGGTTTATCCAGCTTTATACCGGCCAAAACAACTCGCAGATGGTTCTGTTATTATCAGATTAAACGTCTCCACAAAAACATGTTTAGCAAAAACAGAAACTTGCACTAGAATCTCACTGAAACCCTCAGTTTATAAGCAGTGGTCCTGATAGGTCAAAAAACGACAAAGACAAATTTCCTTTTTTTCATAACTTCCAAAACTTTCAGCCATCACAGTAAATAACTGATTCTTCTGAAACCAGTCACAGTATGCAGTCCATGACACTGTGGTTGAACAGCAGTTTATGGTTTAGGAAGCTAAAACTTGTTTGTGGCAAAGTATCTGGCCAACGCATTTTGGCTTCCATATAAGGACACAATGTATTTCAATTACTGGCTTTTTTACGACAAATCTAGCAAATTGGTGAGTCTCACAGTTAACACAGTTCCGACATTCACCAGCATCATTACAACTTGTCAAGTTGCTAAAGCAACCTCAAAGACTTTCTAGAACAACGTTCCATCTTTTTTACCAAAAATTTCTGAAGTACCACAGATTCTGCTCAAGGCTGACTGATTCTTCAACTCTATTTGCTGTCCATCTATCCATTTCCACAAATATGAGTGTTCCATTGTGAAATCGATAGGAGGAACAGTAATATTTGGTAGAGAAAAGTACAATGCGCACGATAAACTTTCCTTTAAAGACAGTATGGCAGTCATGACGCAAAAAGATAGATCTGGTCATTTTGGTACCTTGAAAGAGTGGGTGTTTATGAGATCCTGATAGTAAGCAGAACCACTACGTACTTGAAAAAAATTTACGTTATATAAACGTACAATATACAGAACAGCCTGGTCATAAAGAACACTGTCTTTATTTTTTGGAATCAGTTTTTAAAAAGTTTTTTGGTAAACTTTGGTCGGTTGCCATAAGGCCAAGTCACAGTGCAGAAGTGTTTTGGATATGAGGCATTTCCTTAATAAGCAACTTTTGAAGAGTGTATTCGGAAAAGCAAAAGAAGATGAGGCCTCAAATTTCTGTTTTACACCAGGCAAAATTGCACAGCCATTAATCCTCCCTTAGTTTTTGACTTGTTTTTCAAAGAAGTTGGCAAGTGCTCTTCCGGTAATACTTCCTCGAAAAAGAAAGTTTACTTCCGTTTGTGATTGACATTTTTCACAACTTGCTGCTGCAGTATAACCGCCACCACTGTCAATGAGAATGAGCATTGTTAGTACTAGTATAATACTAAAAATGTAAAAAACAGTTTGCTTTTTTACAATTCAAAAGCACTGCAAAGTTACTGAACTGTGAAAACGCTGCAACCTATCATTTGTAAAGAATACTGTCTGAAGTAATTATCAGTCTCTCAAACCTTAAAACATTCCTCAGTCGCTATCGTAGGGTAAGATTATCGACACTCAAAAACATTTTTATAAGTCACCTATGTTGGCAACATTTTCTTCGAGGTAAAAGCAATGCGTAAGACAAAAGTACAGGCAAAAGCAATGCGTAAAGGACAAATAGCAAATTCCCTTCTTGCAGCAAAAAATATCAACCTCAAAAGATTTATCTCGCATAGCAGGCAGCCACTAAATTAGTTGTTAAGACGAGTGAATTAGATACTTTATAAAATACATTATCATGAAAAAATTTTTGCATCCTTGCATCCTTGCGAAGCACACCCACAAATCAGCAGATTCTACAGTATCACCATTATAACGTCTAAACAGCAACCTTTGAAGAACATCGTAATAACAGACGTTTTCAGCAACTCCTAACAATTTGCACGAAGATAAAAAAAATTTTTAATGATCCGTGATTTCATTGATGCCGCTAAGAGTATACATGCAGCCGTCTGCTAAATTAAGTGAAGAAGGACTGTATAATACAATGCTGCATCACGATGAGAAGTTGACTGATTCTAAAGAAAGAAATGTCACAGCGAGGAATTATTACGGTACTGATAGGCATTGCACTGGCCATGTTCGCCACAGAAACACTAACAAAGTATTTCCACAAGAAAAAGCAAAAGAAGAGGAGTGTCAAAGAAGTCATGAAGAAAAACGCACCTTTTGCCAGCAGTCGTTTACCGTGCTCAACAGTATTGTTGGTTTTCTAAATTAACTGATGAGCGAAATTCTTCTATTAATAACCTAGAACTACCAGTCAAACAATTAAATTGAAACGACGAAAACATCAAAGTTTCAGCGGATTGGTGTACCTAAAGTGGATAAGAGAGACGGACTCTGAGCTATGCAACGACATGTGCAGTACAATAGAAAGTCTATATTGCAAAGTATTTTGCAGCTATTAGAATTGCAGCTGCAGACAATACCTTGGAAAAATTTGGCATAGAATCAATAATACGAACGGATAACATAACAAAAGAAATGGCTAACCTAGTCAGCATTCTTTTCAACAAGTTTGATAAGAAAGTGCAAATTCTTTAAAACTTTCACTGGCTGCAAGAGTAGTAAACAGCTTTATGTTTAATCATTGTTTTCAGTGCTATTTCAGTTCTGGTAATAGATTTCAAAGCGCAAGCACTCTATAAACCTTGAAAAACTGCATTGCTGCAAAATGCGACCAGCGAAAAAATAAAATCAGTGATGACTATAACAACACTCAACTTCAAAATTATACAGAACTTCACAGCTATTGCAGAAGTCTTTGGCTGAAAACGCTGATAAAATGCACGTGATAAATGTAACAGCAGCAACGGAAATTTCCGGCGACTGATTGCGCTACTTTTTTCTTTTCTGACATGAGATAAGGTTTGAAGTCGTCAGCTAATGTGCTGTACAGTCGTTATTTGCATTGTCTTTTTGGATGCTATAAAAGTTATTAACACACATTAAAAAACATACGTTGAAGCATTTCTGCCTATTATCAACAAACATTCAGATCACTTCACTGATGATTTGTGTCTGCCGGGTTACTGATTTATTGCACAGTTTTTTACAGTAATCTGGTTTTGTCGTCTACCTGTAAGACATAAGAAGGTTGAAGAAGTATAAATCTTGAGCATATATTTTGTGAGAGGAGGAAGTAGGTGAGCAAAGTTAAGAAGTCAAGTTGAAAATAAATTTTTTTTTGAAAGTAGTTAATAACTTTTAGAGACAATAGTAATTTACTCTACCATCAAAAATCTTAAAATATCTACATTAAAAAGAATTTTTAGAAACACTAAAACTTAGTTTCAGAAAGTTGCTCAAGTTTTCTTCTTGCATTTTTTATGCTTTTTGCAGGCTTTAAAGTTTTTTTATATTCGATAGATCGTTTAAAGCATTAAATAATATTATACGAAAAAAAGTGTTTACTATGAGAACAACATTTGACGTCTGATAACTGTGATACGTTTAGTTTGTTGCACTTTTAAAAAATGCTACTTTTAAACTCTGGTAGACCATAATATATAGTTTTTAAATTATACTTAATTTTAATCTACCGTTTATGATGTGGTTAACAATTTAAAAGTGGACATATTTAAAGCCGCAGCCAAAAAATAAAAAAAAAATTTTTTTACACAGAAGTCAGGTAACATAAATCGACTCTATTCTGAATATCGCAACAATTAGTTTCGATTTGACTATGTTAACTATTACCGATATGACTGTATACTAAGAATTTTTATTGTATTTGTTAAACAGCATCCTTGAATTAAAGATGAACACAGATTAATGATTGCTATTGTTTGGTAAAACGACTGAAGCACTTAAACTAGAAGATGGAATTGTTGAGATAAACAGAACAAATAAAACATTTTTTCTGCCTACTTTGACATAAATGAGATATTCTTTCTACACTCACCGCAACTCTGTATCTCAATCAAGTAATAATATTTTGTTGTTATTCCTGTTATTACTTAACAAATCTTAAGCCTTAAGGTGAAACTAACGATAACCATGTGCACCGCATTTGAGTACTGCTCTATAAGTGAATTACCGAAAATTGTCGACACACTACTGTTTAGATTTTTCTTCATAAGATTTGTCCATCCTTTACTGTATTTTCAAAGAAAGCCTTTAACAGACTTGTTAACATCTTTAAACCTTCAAATCTGCAGTTTCATTGCATAAACCACCTTTAAACTTTTTCTGTTTGATCGTCTGAACTTATTATACTTAGTGATGAAATCAGTGTTTATAGCAATAAACAAAGTTTGTTCACTAATTGCCCGCTAAAATATAATTTTTTTCAATAAAATTATTAACCTTCGCATTATTTTTGTCAATTTGAACACACGAAGAACAGTCTACATCAGCTTTAAAATTGTAACATTTATAAATTTCCAAAAGATTAGAAGGTGATATTGTATAAATGAGCAGAAAACAGTTAATAATACAAACCAGTTCCACTTCATTATTGTTTAAGCGAAATAATACAGCTCAAATCTGTAAGTTTCTTCAGTGATCTAATCGATTAAACTGTTTTTTAAGCACATCATTGACGCACTATCACATCTAAAAAAACAGTTTTCAATCTTATGACAAGCAACAGTGATTTAATTTCTCATAACTTTTCTCATGTTTACCATCAATTTTTGAATATTATGGTCTTCAGCTGATAAACATTTTCTATCCTTATTCCTTTAAATAATTTTTTAATATAAAAGATACCACACCAAATTGCTGCCTTTTTTAAGCTTTTTTCGCTTTTACACTATTTTTTTGGTAAAGTTAGCGATGATTGAATAAAACGTTGTTAAGCTGTACTTTTTGCATGTACAGGTGCTATTTCGAAGTACTCTGTAAGTTCGAATTGATTGGTCGGCTTCTGGATCACATTCATCCATTTCTACTGTTTCGAGAAAGCCACCTTCTTGTACGCAAACATTACTATTTTGCTTTCTATGAGGGAATTCGTGTGTTCCAAACTAAAAAGACAAATAATTCCAAATGCCCATAGATTGAATAGCACTAATCTTGACTCTAATAAATGCTCTATCAACACAGCCTAAAAAAATTCGAAAACTTTGCAGATTTAAAAAGGAACCGCAGATATCTCTTAATCACAGCTAATATACAATAGGTAACTTTATAACTTTAACAGGTGAAAAAAGCTTAGAACCATTTTGTACAGAATATACTGAAGTTTGCTCTACCTCTTGAGAAAGACAATAACCTTTGCAGACAGCTATTTTAATATGGCTCCTACAACTATGACCGTTCTGATCAGTTCTAACATATGGATTTGTTCCAGGTAATGGCATCATATGTAGCGAGCAAGGGTTGTTTTTGCATTCGCTCTGCAGACTACGTCACTGCGTAAATATCATATTATATCATTAATTTCTAATACCAGTTTTCAACAGCTAAGCATTTTTGGCCTGAATTCTTGAATGGCTGACGTTATGAGCATAACTGTGCAATAGCAGCAGTAAATGACGAAAACTAAGCGAAAAAAAAAAGACATACCACTGCAAACAGCGTAATGAGACAAGCGTACATTGTGAACAGCAAATAACCCACACGTAAGGTCATAATTGACGTTTGAGTATAATTTCGTAAACCGCAGTTGACTGATTTAAAACAGGAGTTTAACAGAGCAGATAATATTACAGGTTTAACTGTCTACTTTTTGACCAGTTGTTTTATGTAACAGTTTGTTAAATTGTTGATTTTATAAAAATTAACAGTGTTAAAAAACCACACGAACTCTTCACCTGACAGACAGTTGTTCATAAGCTCAATGTTAAAACCATCATTTCTTAAGCGCTTCATAAAAGAGCAGTTTAAAACAACAAGAAGTTTTTTTTTGTTTATTTATGAACTTGAAACTGAAAAGTCAAAGAGCAGATTGTTTTGATATTTAATTTATTGCTGACATCAGAAACGAACGTTAATATTTTGATGTTCATTGGTTACGGCCCACTGACAAATCATTCTGATTCACCGTAACAGCATGCAGATAATTTTTGGTAGTTTTATTGTTTTGGTAATGACTTACTATTAAGAGTGTTGCAGAATTTTTTCTCAGAAACAAAGCAAGCAAATACAAGAACAAGTTATGCGTCAAGCAGTGGACGGTAATAATTTATAATGATTCTTTTGTAAGCCTTAGACCGAAGAGATCAGAAAAGCAGAAAACGTAGCAAACCCACAAACTTTTCCAAACAGTGCTCAATGTGATCTTCAACTTTTCTTTGGTCTTTCAACAATACTAAACTGTTGCATTTTTCCTCTCACATTTGATCTTTTGCCTCTTAGCGAGCTTAAGAAGATAAGCATACAAAAAAAAAAAAAAAAA